GTCCCCCGTGTCCCCCGTGTCCCCCAGCCCGCCCAGCGCCGCCAGCACCGCCCGCAGGTGCGGGGGGTGCACGAAGGCCACGAGCCCCCCGCGGTTGGCCCAGCGCTCGGGCCCGGCCCGGCCCGGTTCGGGCCGGTTGTAGAGCAGCTCGGGGGGGTCCCCGGTGTCCCCCTCCCGCCGCGCCCGCAGCGCCCCCTCCAGGGCCACCACGCCGCCGCCCAGGGCGCGCAGGATGGCGTGGGGCGCGCACGAGTCCCAGGCGAAGGTGGTGGCCTGCGACAGCACGAAGGCGTCCGCCAGCCCCAGCGCCACGCACAGCAGCTTGTAGCCGGCCCCGGCGGCGAAGAGCGGGGGACCCCCCCCCAGCGAGGCCAGAGCCCCCCGAACCGCCGCGGCCTCGGCCCGGCTCAGCACCACGCGGGGACACGGCCGGGGGACAGGAGGGGACAGCGAGCACAGCCGCGTGTCGCCGTGCGCCACCCCCCAGTGGTAGCGACCCTGCCACCTGCGGGAGGGAGGGGACAGGGGGACGTGAGATTTGGGGGGGGCTGTCCCCTCCATCCCCATCCCATCCCTGTCCCCATCCCCGTCCCTGTTCCTGTCCCCATCCCCGCCCCTGTCCCCATCCCTGTTCCCATCCCATCCCATTCCTGTCCCCCTCTCTGTCCCTGTCCCTGTCCCCATCCCATCCCTGTCCCCATCCCTGTCCCATCCCTGTCCCATCCCTGTCCCCACCCCTGTCCCTGTCCCACCCCTGTCCCCACCCCGCAGCCCCTCACCAATGGGGTCTATCCAGATCCCCACGTCCCCTGGTGACACTCCGGGGTCGATGCCGTCCAGCTCCGTGTCCCCAAGTGTCACCTCCTGGTGCACGGCCTCTGCCAGCAGCTCGGCCGCCCTCGTCTGCTCGGGGCCCAGCACGGCCAGCAGCAGGGCCACCGTGTCCCCCGGGGTGGCACAGACCCGCACTGTCACCGTGCCACCTGCCAGGGACATGGCACAGGGACCCCCGACTCAGCCACGGCCCCACAGACCGCGTGGGGACCCTGACTCAGCCACGGGAATGTGGGGACATGGGGACATGGGACATGGGGACATGGGCAGGGTGATGCTGGGACATGGGGACATGGGGACACGCTGTCCCCCCTGTATGCCTGTCCCCTCACTGTCCCCCCGTCCCCTCAGTGTCCCCTCAGTGTCCCTGCTGTCCCCTCAGTGTCCCGTTGTTCCCTCTGTCCCCCCGGTGTCCCGCTGTCCCCTCAGTGTCCCCCCTGTCCCGCTGTCCCCTCAGTGTCCCTGCTGTCCCCTCAGTGTCCCGTTGTTCCCTCTGTCCCCCCGGTGTCCCGCTGTCCCCTCAGTGTCCCCCCTGTCCCGCTGTCCCCTCAGTGTCCCTGCTGTCCCCTCAGTGTCCCGTTGTTCCCTCTGTCCCCCCGGTGTCCCGCTGTCCCCTCAGTGTCCCCCCTGTCCCGCTGTCCCCACTCACCCCGCGCGTCCCTGAACTCGCTGCTCTCCTCGCCGTGGATGTGTCCCCGGAGCTCGGGGAACTGCGGCGACACCGGGAGGGGCTCAGGGGGGGCCCGGCGGGTGCCACCCCCCCCGGGCACCCCCGGGCTGTCCCCACCTGTGTCCCCAGGTCGTGCTTGATGAGCTCCTGGATCAGGACGTCCGCCAGGGTTTTGAAGTCGCGGGGGAAGCGGCGGCCGCGCTCCGGGCCCGGCTTCTCGGTCACCGGGAGCCGGGAGAGCGGCGCCTCCGCCCGGCAGCGCCGCGCCACCTCCGCCGCCTTCTGCGACACGGCCACCAGCGCCGGCAGCAGCCCCGCCATGCCCGCGACACGGCCACACCGTCACACGGCCACACAGCGACAGCCGCGACACCGCGACACAGCGACACGGCGACAGCCGCGACACCTGCCGGGGGCAGCCGCGGGTCAGGGACGGGATGGGAAAGGCTCCGAAATGACCCCAAATGGGGACAGGGGGACATTGGGGTGTG